AGCAAATATATTCTGCACAAATTCACTGTAAATTTGCGCTTATTAGCTTTAAATTGGCCCGCCAATTACTTTCAACAGTTGATGCGTCATAGGTACATTGATCATTTTAAAATGCTACACAGCTGAGAGAACAAGATAGTCCGAAATAATTTACTTTCAATGTCAAATAACAGTATTTAAGTAACTTTGATTATTTATACGCCTAGTTAGAGCAATTTAAATAAACCACGCAAAGAAAACGCCTCATGTTTCGCGCAATGTGTGCGTGACTCTAATGTCATTATATTAAAGCAGTCAATGTGAGCGTGTGTAGCAACGAGCATATCTACCATATGTAGTAGATATTTTTGTGCCGTTTCCGCGCGGTTAATATGGTATCTAGGGAGTATACAATCAAAGTTAAGTAATTAGATACTTATCTACATCACATGTACAAATTATTTTTGCTTACCCGTCTCTTGGAGAAAACTTTATTAAAAGCTTTTATTATGCTGTTCTGATGATTGAACTGGAAGGTGGCTATAGGAACTCTGTAATGAAAGGAAGCAACCCCATCAACTTTGGGCTCGTTTGATTCGTCTTGACGTGTACTGTGTAGGTGGTATCCAGAGTCTGATGGTGGAGCTGGAAGGTGGCAATAGGAAGTCCGTAATTAAATGACACAGTCCCATTGAGTTTGGGCTCGTTTGTTTCGTCTTGATGAGTACTTTGGTCCTTTATGGTAACAAGGGTCTGATGATGAAGCTGGAAGGTGACCATAGGATCTTCGAAATAAAACGACGTAACCGCATCGTGTTTGGGCTCATTTTATTAGTCGTGATGAGTACTAATATCTCGTCGTCGTAGATAATATCTATATGCAATCCCATTAGATTTGGTACTCCTCTGGTGGGATGCACCGTTTATGTCATATACTTGAGAACAACATAATTAAAAAGAAACTACTACACAAAGAAAAGGACGTTCAGAAAACGTAAAATGTATTAAATTTCGAATCAAAAATACCAAAAAGTAAAAAATTAAAAAAAAAAGTTTTCTTGCTTGTTAATAAGAAGAACTAAAAATTCAAAATAATTTAAGTCTTATACGAAATATACTATGTTACACCAAGAGGAATGAAAGGGGTATATCGCGCTTTTATTAAAAAAATGGATATAATGTACCTGGAAATAGTATATTTCTTATCAGAATAAATTATTATAAACTATTTAGTTCTATTTATAAACAAGCAAGAAAAGCTTGTTTTTTGAAAATATTTTCAAATAAAAACGCGCTAAGCTCTTGCCGACAAAATGTAGGTAAGTTACGCTTTCATTAATAAAAAATGGGATTATTTAATGTATTTATAAATGGTTTATTTTTATCAGACTTCATTTATTTTTAACTTTGAGTTTTTTGTATTAACAAGCAATAAAAGCTTGTTTAAATAAAATATATTACTAACAAGCTTCTTTATTAATTTTGTTAATGCAGTGCTTTTGGTTGACAACATTTTTTTCTCAACTATTGCTCAAGACTTCTTTCAGCCGTGGAGAACTCGCATAAGAAACTTCACAATATTAAAGAAAGTGTAATGGCACAAAAAGTTATGAATACATTAATGTAAAAAAAGATTAAACAACAAGTAAATTTAGTAAAATGTTATAGATACATTTAGAAAAATCCTGGTAAGATAAGTACTATCCAAAGTCACGTAAATAAGCGATAAAGAAAAAAAATACTTTGATCTTATCGTGCACAGGTACCTAGCATTGGTAGTGCCTAAAAAAGGCCTTAAAGGTGCGCCCCGCACCAACGAACGGACTTGCACCTAGCCTCTCGCAAGTCTCACGGGTGCGAAACGGAAAAGCAGTTCGCGCTGCTTACGAGCGCTTGCGGCACATTATCCGCTAAAACACCCTGCGAATACCCTCTACGCTGTTAAGTGCAGTACCGCGAGATCCCCGTTGAGGGACATCACCGATTTTTCGCACCCAACAGCCTCCCGGTCTAACCGGGGCTCCACGGCAGGGATCACCACGAAAAGTTATTTGCTTAAATGAACCCAGTGTATTGAAATTCAGGCTTTCGAAAACCTAACCGTACTTTATTATATTCTTTTTTTTAAGCATTTAACTGAAGAAAATTTTACTAGGAAAGAAACTCGGTCCGTACTCGTACTTCATAATTACGCGACTAAGTATAGCGTGCTTAACAGTACCCTTATTATGAGTTTGAGCTCACGAAAACTATAATAGTTTTCGTATGTAATTGTAAATTATGTTTCTATGTCCATTTTGGTGAAAAGTAACCAAATATACTTAAAATTTAAGAATACGCAAATGATTGAATGATAGAATTTAAACACTGTTTAGATGTATTGAAACGAAAACAATAAAATCGACGAGTGTGACCTCACCAAAACTATCATAGTTTTCGTAATTGTAAAACTCGTACTAAGGGTACAGAACAAAGCTTTAGAGAAAAGAAGGTTTTACTAATTCAGACCTCAATAAAAAAATCCAAGTCAGAATAGAAGATGTAAAAAAATGTATTTACTCGTACCTACCTTAGCAATCTTATTCCCCGTTTTTGTGTACATTGGAAGAAGTTGTTATTTATATAAGTAGATTCTAAAAACTTTTATTGTTTTGAGGGTTCCGTTCCTACCCAAAGAATAACGACGAAACCTTATTTATAAAATCTTACCTGCGCCGTCCGTCCATCCGCATTTTCGGACGCTGTACCTCATGGACAATGTTAGGTGCTCAGTTAATCCTTTTTAATAGATTAAATATATTTTTCATCCCACCATCTCGGAAAGAGTATTTTTGCTCTTCGATATCTGTGTGCAAAGGCCGTTTTTTTGCGATAAATAGCAGTATTGTATAGAAAAATTTTCCATGTTCGCGATAAATGGCGGCACTAAAAAATTAAAAGCTACTGAATATACGGCTATAGAACCTAAATATCTTAGCTTTTTTTGGTTAACTAGAGTTTTAAAATTCTCTCTAATCTGTGGCTCATTCACAATCATCACACAGTTTCTGTCACAGAGTATCTTATTATAACCGGAAATGACACGTGATTTTAAAAGTTACTCTTATGCATTAACTTTAAAAACAGGCAACTATCTGTTATTCTACATGCTCTATATACCTGAATCTAATCCATAATTTCGGTACTTGGCTTGATTTCCCTAGTTTACTATATAACTTATTTGTTTTTTATTATTTTAATATGTTCAGTGTATATGGATTATAGAAGTTCTCAGGGGTGTCCGTCAATAATATTCGTTTCTACAGTAATTTATATATAATTTCGAATCTAGGAAACAATTTTTCATGATTATTGGTCTTTAGGCCAAACATGTATGGAAGCTGAGCAATCTCCTTTAAATATCCTATACATAAATTGTTACGATAGATAAATAATAGCTTAATAAAAGCAAAAAAAATATTTAAAAAAAATAACCGAACACAGTATCGAAACGCCGTTCCTTTGGTGTCAACCCCAAGACCGTTACAGTTCGGCTTTCGGTATCTTATACTAAATTATAAAATTACGGATACCTTTCTTGTGTCAAATACTCTACTTCCGTTTCATCGAATCTCAAGTGACAACGATACTAAAGATGTTTTCACTTTAAAATAACTATTTATTGCAACTATAAAAAATTAAGTTGAAAATAAATGTTTTTGCTGACTTAACCATGTACGATTAGAGAGAACCCTCATGGGGCGAGCTCGATACGCGTTTAACTTATTAACATCTTAATTCTGGGAATCTCTGGAATCTCAATTGGACAAAATTTTGATTGTGATTGTTGTTCATGTCACTCAAATGGCATCTGTAATTCAATGAACAGAGACAAACATAGAGTAAATAATCCAAGCTTATTTTCCTTTTATTGATAATTATCAAATATAATTATTATAATGGGCGAGTTCAAGTTCAACTCGCACTTAACCTGTTACTATCGTTATCAAGAATAACCTTGACCAAAGCCTGGAATCGCAATCAGACAAAATTTTCTTAGCAAAGTAATTTTTTTCAATGTTTATATCTAACATATAACATTCTTTTGACGACCTCGGTGGCCGAGTGGTTTGTACGCCGGGTTTCATGGTGTCGCCGACTCGAGAGGTCCCGGGTTCGAATCCCGGTGGAAGCAGATGTTTGTGTGATGAATACGAGCATTTGAACTCCAGTCATGGATGTTTAATATGTATTTCTATATAAATATACTTATATATGTACTGTATATGTATTCTATCAGTTACCCTAGTATCCCATAACACAAGCCTTTCAGTGCTTACTTTGGGGCTAGGCTAATTGGTGTGAGTGTCGGAAAATATTTATTTATTATTCTCTTGTCACAGTATGCGTTATTGAACTACTCCGAAACGGCTTGACCGATTTTCGTGAAATTTTATATGTTTATTCGGTAGGTCTTAGAATCGAACAACATGTATTTTTCATCCCCCTAAATGTTAAGGGTGGCCCACCCTTCATTTTTGTTTATAGGACTTTTTTAGGACTATACAAAAATACATACAACCCTAAATTTTCACCCTTCTATCACCAACCCTTATTTTTTTATGGCGGTACGAAGTTCGCTGGGACAACTAGTATTTTATATAATATTCTTTTTTGAATGTTATAAGAGCCACTTAATAACGGGGTGGATGATACGGAATCGGAGTTCGACTCGCAACGCACTCGCTCTTAACCTGTCAATATCATAATAATTCTGGGAATTTGCTGGATTCGCTTTAGGACAATATTTTGTTTGTGATCCCCATGTTTTTTTAATGTCAACATAATACTTAAACTTTTTTCGGTTTGCGAATTTCACTTTCTCTTAGCCTGTTATTATGTGAATACTGGGAAAGTCTGGATTCGCAATTGGATAAAATTTTGTTTGCGATCACATCTTTTTTAAAATGTTCATATAATATATTTTTGGAATAATATGAGTCGCTTAATAAAGGGGCGTAATGAGCGCATGCGTGTGATAACAAGGCGAGTTTATGCGTGTCGGGGGTCTAGTAGTCAGCCTCTGGATTCGGACGCGGTAAGCGGCCGCAGACACAGTAGGTACTACGCCTGCACCGGGAAAAGTTTCATCTTTCCGTAGAACTCGTGGTTCCGAATCGCGTTTGTGAGCCTATGCCGTGTGTACTGTGATTGTTCCGAAATGAGGTGGACAACGGCGTTTTTGTTTTTCGGCGCGGTCGCAACTGGTAAGTTTTTTTGTTGTATTTTTTTATAAAAATACTGTTATTTAGTCTCAATTTTATTGTGTTTTACTAGCGAACTCATCATATGAATATGTAAGTTTGAGAAAAATCTTCAAAAGTCTATTAATTAGTAAGAGAAAACTGTTTGTTAGGAACCAATTTCCAGCTAAGACGGTATTATTTTGGACTATTCTAAATAATTTTATTACCATCATAAATCAAATTCGTATTTCGCGTCCAAGGTATTTTAAGTACCTATCAATATAATGTATAAAACTTCCAGTACATTAACGTCTGTGTGTATATATTTTTATCAAAGTTCTCTACAATATTTGTGTATTCTTTTAGCGATCATAACACTATCGATTATTGAAAACTGTTGCAGACTTCAGTGATGAAAATATTTATATACGAATTTAACTTATACCAAAAATCGGCATATTTCAGTATAAAGTGTAAAAATAAAGTGTTATAATTTAAGAATCATCAGCCTAATGATGCCCTTCTGTAGCACAGGCCTTCTCTACGGTCTAAATAAGTCAGGCTATGAGCGACCATGCATGCGGACCTAATGCAAATTCGTGCTAACGACTGCAGATATAGCTATGACCGACCAACCAAAATCCTTCGGTTCCGGAACACGTAGAAAAGTGAGATGATAATTTTTACTAACTCATCCTACGATCAGTCAAAGGGAATATTTCTTAACTTTTTTTTATAAGAGTGCAACAAATTTTAAGTGTAAGTGGAGCCCAGTCACGAAAATAGATGATGCGGCAGAAAGTGCGCCACTCCAACCGGCCGGCCTGAACCTTGCTGGCCTGACGGTCAAAGGTCTCGAAAATCGGTTTTTTGCAATTATCTCCGTTTCTAAGGTTCCAACTGCTTCAACACTTATTATGAAAATTAAAGATAAAAAAAATTGCCACAGGTTTTGTCACGACTTTTTTCTATACGCTCAACCCTTTTCGAGATGGAGGGCGGAGAGTACCCAGCGCTCAGGCGTGAAGCTGTACACGAGTTTCCAGCTTATTATTTCAAATTTCGAGATTGACCCCTTTTTTCCCTAAAGTAACTGGACTATAAGGCGGAGGTTGCTTCTCCAGACGGGCGCTTCAATTCAAGCACAAAATCCGCTATGCCTAACTTTCCTGACTTACAAGATCAAGGACCGCACTCACTCACTACTGTGCCTGAGCAAATTTACTGGGTATTTTCTACACTGAAATGCTTGATGGCGCAGGTGGTCAGCGCTTCCGGCCTTCGGTCGCGAAAGTCAAGCAACTTGCGCAATAGTTGGCCATTGGATGGGTGACCAAAAACTTGGGTAATATCTCGAGCTCTCCGAGCTTCGGAAGGCACGTTAAGCCGTTGGTACCGGCTGCATCTCCCTATTCTATTCATAGGGAAGGCTAGTGCTTAAGCAGTGGGGACATTAAATACGCTGATGAACACACTTTAAGCTGTACCTATGTATATAACATAATTGATGGTGACGACGAGTAAGCAAGTACATTCAATTATGTCATCAACACTATATGTTGGTCAGTTGAATCCAGTTCATGACCATTCCATTCATTGACGCGCACAAATGGTAATAAAGCATACGTTAATACATAGTTAAGCATTTAATAATGAAAATGTCACACTTGCATCGTGGCTATCTTCGGTTGGGTTCGATGCTTGATCTGATCAAATTAGAATATGATCATCCGCCTTAAATTCCTCTTATTCAAAAATTCAAAATAAAGTATATAGTAATAAAGTAAACCTAATGTTGTCTTAGGCTTGTATTACAGAATGACAACTAAGTGTTGATGTTTACTTGAGTTTACAGTTAGAAAGGGATGTTAAAAACGGAAAAATAAACATTGAGCTATTTGCAAAAAGAGCACAGGTAAGACTTTGTTCAAATAAAAAAGAAACTTTTACAAAAACAATCCAATCGATCCAGGGATGCGGGATTCGGACGCATCTTCCGCCCAGATAGCGAAAAATATTTTTTTTCTTAAGAATTAAACATCCAGCAATTAAATGCTTAAAAAAATATACCTATTAATCAAGACTTTGTTTTTCAAAACAATAGTAGTACCAATTCAAAATTACGCTTGAGGTAATGATAAAGAACACTAATGAAAAAAGGCCGACCAAGGGTTCGTTCAGTTTATTAATAAGGTGTTCATTAGTGTGAATCTTTGTATTACACGGTAGTTCGTGTATACAAGGCTAATATCGTTTGCCATACAGCAATTGCGTATTCATAAATCACTAAGTTTTGCAAATCACCAGAGAAATATAATAACGTGTTTGGAGTCCCGTATTTTAAGGAAATGTTACTTTTATTTTTTTCTGTATCCATACTAACTAATATTATAAATGTGAAAGTGTGTCTGTCTGTCTGTCTGTCTGTTAACTTAGCATGCTTATGCTGATCCGATATTATGTAGTTATAGTTTGAGCCCCGGGGAAGGACATAGTATAGTTATAATTCTTTAAATCATCCACTAACTGGGTGAAAATGGGGGTGAAAGGAGAACTAGCATTTTGGTACTGATCTTGTACAAACATATTTTTTTAGTATTAGGTTAAGCATGAAAAAGTAAGAAATATGAGATAATAATAATATTTTTAAGCTAATAGTTAAACTCAAAAAATAATGTAAAAACTTTAACTCACCCATAGCGTATGAAGGAACGTAGTTCGCTATTATATTCGAAACAATCGATTTAACTAATAATTATGAGTTGAATATTTTATTGAAGTACTGTTTACATTGTTCAAATAGGTAATGTTTTAAATGTTAATAAATTGTAAGAAAAAATCAAGTATAAATTGGAGCTTGTTAAATCCAAATCTCAGACATAATACAAAAATATAACATCAACTAGCTGTTACAGCGAACTTCGTACCGAGATAAAAAATTGGGGTTGGTGGTAGAAGGGTGAAAATTTAGGGTTGCATGTATTTTTGTATGATGTATCATAAAAAAAAAACCAAAAAAAAATGTCAAAAAAAAAAAAAATTAAGGGTGGTGATTTTAACATTGAGGGGGGTGGAAAATAGATGTTGTCCAATTCTGAGACCTACTGAATATGCATATAAAATTTCGGAGTAGTTCAATTACGCACACCGTGACATAAGAATTTTATATCTTAGAGAAACATTACCTATGCATCTGATTTTTTAGATGGTCACGTAACTAACGTCACATGTGAACTTATAATGACAATGTTTGTCAGTGGTTTGTCATTATGCCACTGGCATTTTGCAAAGTGCAATTGCAATATTTGCAATTATTATATCATTCATTTCGCTTGCAATGCGAAAGTTTTTTTTTGTTAACACATGCTTTCTTTGTTTTGTTATGCGATTTTTCTACGATTTCGTTATAGTCGAATGTATTTTTGATAAAATACAACATTGATTTCGGCTTGTTTTAATGGACTCTGTTACTAACAATTGATATGACTATTACTTTCATTTTAATAAATTGATAGTAGAAATCTTTAGAGTGATTTTATTATTAATTAGGTAAACATAAAACAGTGAAAAGGAGTGAGTTTTTATTACCGAATATCTTTTAACTTGCAGATATTGAGAAAGGCAAGAGTGTTATGTTTCATGTGTATGGGTTGTCATTAGTTCATCACACAAACAACGTTATGCGTATAAGGTGTGCCTCTGCGCTGACACGCTTGCGTAACTGCACGAGTGGTATCTTCAAGGTATTTATTGATAAGTGGGAGTTACCTCTTTTGCAAGGATGGGTGCGTATCCTCACAATTATCAATTTTTTGACTGGATAAAAACCTTGGCATCCCAAGTTAATATGTATGTGTGTGTATAATACTGTGTTGAGTGTATTAATATTGCTGGATGTTTACTATTGTTACTAACACTTGCTATTGGCACAGCCTGAAATGAAAATATAATAATAATATAATTCATACCAAATGCTAACACAATTTGGATGACCGTAAAGTGGTTTTTGTGATGGGCACGACACCAAAATATAAGTGCTTCAGCCACATTTTTAAATAATATGCTTATGGGAGAAGACACAAAAGAGGAAAACATGAACGAATAAAGTTATTGAAGTAATTGTTTCTCTTATTGGCCCTGAGCATTTTTTGTAATAATTTCTGATGAGTTACTATTCAACACTATTCAATTCAATAAAAATATAAACAGCTTCACTTTCTCTCTGGTCAACTATCCTTATATTTATTGCAGGTATATATGTCAACACAGTAGCGTGCTTGCTTGCTATTATTGAATACTAGCAAACCAGTGAACCAAATGTTCACCAAAACCTGATTTAAAAAAAAAACCTTTAAATAGTTAATTAAAATTGTGATAATTACAAAATAAAAATCACGTGATTTCTCGAAAACCGGAAGTGCTACGTTACTCAAATCCGGTTTGTAGTCTTATCAGACTATTCTTAACTTATAACTTAAATATTCTCTTTATCTATCTCTTACGGTTTGGCCGCTGAAACAGCACCACAGACAGACGGACGGACGGACTTGTCTAATAAATAAGAGATTTTTGACTGCTATGTCTTTGATGACATTTAGTTGTCACAAATTAGAGAATTGAGACATTTTGTAAATTTTTAACTGGGTTTCTTATGTGGTTTATATTATTACTACTTTGTGCCCGTGTCTTCATCTGTATTTTTAAATTGGTGTTTCATGCAAACTTTCACCCCACAAGTAAGTTAAGTAAGTTTGTACAAGTATATGAAAGGGAGTAAGTGCAAGGTTCTCTTCAAAACTCTTTTTAAGGCCCCACTTTTGCATTCATGATATTAGTATCCAATGGATGCATGATACAGTCATCTAATAGTCGGACAGTTTCTTGGAAAAGGAATATTGATAGGAAAAGGAAGGTTTATAAACAAGGTTTCATGAAATCGAACTCAAGTCAGAGTAAACCAATTATTTTCATGTCCGACTTGAATTGTATTACCGGAAAGCTTTAATGTAAATAAGTTGAAT